ACTATCATCATCGTTGCCGCCGAAGTCGGCGTCACCATGATCCCACGCACGCCCGAATCACCGATCTGCATTGACGTGCCCGCGCATCAGCGAGGCCTTTGACAGGCGCTGGGGCGTTGCCATCGGTAAGCGCCATCGCTGCCCGCATTGGCTGAGCCAGACCAGCTGGCCGCTCTGCGCGCGAGCTTGCATGCGCCAGCGCGGCCGCAGAGATGCGCCAGCCAGGACCAAGCAGTCATGGTAATCGCCGCCGCATGGGTTTTGTGAACCAAGTTGTTTTGTAAACCAAGTTGCGGGTGGGGGGGTGGACTGATTGTGCGTCCGCTGGAGTTGACAATTCATGGGTTGGAAGAATCGCAAACATGTATTGCACCAGGTAGCTTGCACACCATTACTCACACCACATCGAATTTTTCTCGCAAGGAGAATACACTCTCCCACCATCTTCCCACCTGGGTTATCGCCCACCCCAGGGAGACTGCACATTACATTTGGTACTGTCTCATCGTTCATGTTCCATATGACTCTAGACCATGCCAGGTAGGCCAAGTCTCGCCCCCCCTTCACCCCTGTCAAACAATACTGTGCGCTTCACTCATGTATCGCGCGTTCCATTTTCCAATCGTCCCTGCCAACATAATGACGAAACCTCCACACGCACGACCATACCGAAATCATACCAAACACACCCGTGTTGCAAGTATACCAACATACAAAACACAGTACAGCCCTTACGCTGCCCATAGCAAACTTTGCAAACTTAATGCGAGCTTGTCTGGTGAAGCTGGGAGCAAACCAGATGATTCGAACAGTCTCGTCTAACTGCCGCATTGTCATCCCACCACGCGGTGTATCCCGATGGTCCAACATGCGCCCAATCCACGAATCCGTATCAACTAATACCGTGCGGGCCACACGCGCGCGCGCCGCCACGCGAACGTGCCGAAATCATTCCAAACCCATTGGTTTGCAAAGAATTTCAGAATAGAGACAATCAACACCGTATGGAAAACGCACATTTTTTCATCAAGCAAGTTGCCCGGGTTCTTGGATTTCGAGCGTGCGCGCGCGCACTTCCTCACCGTCACCCTCGTCAACGCCGCCGCATCACCCCCGTTATCGTCATAGTCACGTTGCCGTTGCCGCCGTCATCGGTCACTTACCTTCATCACCAGCGCATGAACGTCATCATCGTCGTCGTCGCCAGCGTCGGCGCCGTCTTTTGCTTTGCTGTCGTCATCGTCATCATCGCCACCAGCGTCGCTACTATCATCAACGTTACCGCCACTGTCGGCGCCAGAATGATACCGCACCTGCCTGGGTAACGGACTCACACTGCATTCCACGCGCGCGCACCAGCGCGGTCTTTGACGCGCGCTGGGGCGTTGCCGTCGGCAAGCGCCATCGCGGCCGCATCGGTTATGCTCAGACAGCTGACCGCTCCTAGCGCGAGCTCATGCGGGCCAGCGCGGCCGCAGAGATGCGCCGCCCATGGCCAAACAATCATCGCAATTGCCGTCGCATAGGATTTGAAAACCACGTTGCAGGTGGGAGGGTAGAGAGATTGCGCGAACAGTGGGGTTGACAACCAATGAGCTGGCAAAGGTTAGCTGCACCACATAGACTGCGCCACATAGTGTATACGACACAGTCCACAACACATAGATGATGTGTCCAAGAGAAGCGTAGGCTCTATCATCGTCCCCCCGATGTATCGGTACCTTTGGCGCGAATGCAATTTACATATGTTTCTGCAACACCGCTCACTCCCTGAACGAATCTAAACCATCCCAGCCCAATCAATATCGACACCCCCTCACCCCTGTCATAACACAATGCGCGCGCACCCCGTTATCTCACCATATCAATGTTCAAACGGCCGAACGAAGACAACTGCACAACATCAACACACGCGCGCACATGCCGAAACCGTGCCAGCCACACCAATGTGCAAACATCTTATACAAGCATTAGCAACTTCCGTGCCAATCACACCGTGCCAGTCACACCAATCACACCCATAGAAACATTAGCCTGGCGAAGAACCCAACCGTATGCAAATGTGAAAGCCACAACTGTGGGTATCGACTTCCGTGGAGCTCCCTATGTGCTACGAAACGCCGTACTGGGTGGGGGGGACGAATGCGAACTGCACCACGAAACACTGTTCTGGGTGGGGGGGGGACGCATGCGAACTGTGCCACTGGGACCTTCGGTGGAGTTCCCTCTGGGGCCACGAGACGCTGCACTGGGCGGGGGAAACGCATGCGAACTGCGCCACTGGGACATTCGGTGGAGCTTCCTCTGGGGCCACGAAGCGCTGTACTGGGCGGGGGAGAAGCATGCGAACTGCGCCACTGGAACCTTCGGTGGAGCTCCCTCTTGGGCCACGGAACGCTGTACTGGGCGGGGGGGGGGACGCATGCGAACTGTTCTTGAACCGTGCCACCTGGGACCTTCGGTGGAGCTCCCTCTGGGGCCATGAAACGCTGTACTGGGTGGAGGGGACGCATGCGAACTGCGCCACTGGGACCTTCGGTGGAGCTCCCTCTTGGGCCACGAAGCGCTGTACTGAGCAGGGGTGCGCATGCGAACTGCGCCGCCCGGGACGTCCGGTGGAACCCCCTCTGGGGCCACGAAACGCTGTACTGGGTGGGGGGGGTGGGGGGCGCATGCGAACTGCGCCACTGGGACCTTCGGTGGAGCTCCCTCTGGGGCCACGAAACGCTGTACTGGGTGGGGGGGGGGCCGATGGGGCCAAGGAGCGCTGTTGTACTGGGTGAGGGGGGGGGGGACGCATGCGAACTGCGCCACTGGGACCTTCGGTGGAACTCCCTCTGGGGCCATGAAGCGCTGTACTGGGCGGGGGGGGGAATATGAGAGCTGCGCCGCCTGGGACCTTCGGTGAAGCTCACTATGGGGCCACGCGACGGGTGGACGCATGCGACCTGCGCCACTGGGACATTCGGTGGAGTTCCCTCTGGGGCCACGAGACGCTGTACTGGGTGGGGGGGCGGCGCATGCGAACTGCGCCACTGGGGTTTTCTGTGGAGCTCCCTCTGGGGCCGCGAAACGCTGTACTGGGTGGGGGGGGGGGACACATGCGAACTGCGCCACTGGGACCTTGGGTAGAGCCCCCTCTGGGGGGGCCACGAAGCGCTGTATTGGGCGGGGGGACGCATGTGAACTGCGCCGCTGGGACCTTCTGTGGAGCTCCCTCTGGGCGGGACGAGTGACACGCGGGGCGCTGTCTCGCCAAAACGATGGTTGGGCACAACAAATCCTAGACTGTCCATCCATCACCTGGCAACTGTTCTGCCCGCGCGCGTTGGCGGGCATCACAAGGCAATCATATGACATTGGCAATCTCGATCAACATCCGCACTCTCACCAACTAATATCATGCGGGCCACACGTGCGCGCAACCATGCGCACGCGTCGGAATCTTTACCGAACCACGAGTTTTCGAAAAGTGTCAATCGATCTCTTCGGCGCAAAGGCTTTTCAACACAAACTCCGCAGAATTTCTTGCAAATGCGTGCGCTCGTCTTCGCAATCACCCAGATCAACGCCGCCGCATCACCGCCGTTATCGTCATCGTCAATCGACACCCTTGCCGCCATCATCAGTCAATCCGATTCATCACCGACGCAGGCACTTCATCATCGTCATCGACTTGGCCAACGTCAGAGACGTCGTTGGCCTTGCTGTCATCGCCATTCTCGCCGACACCATCGCTACCATCATGTTGTAAGCCCATGGGGCCGTCTTCGGATGTCGGAAGCCCGCAGGATGTCGGAAGCCCGCAACTGCGAGAACACTATGTTTTCCAGCGTGGACCCCAAACACTTGAGATGTTGCGCTGTGGATGCGCAAACTATGTAGAAATATCTACGAGGTCGGATCCAATTTGCAGAATTTGGAGCCGTCAACCCGAATGCTCGCGCAATCATCCCGCTCTGCACAACCCATGCGGCGACGCTTGCTGCGACTGTTTGGCACTGGCTGGCGCATCTCTGCGGCCGCGCTGACGCTCGCAAGCTCGCGCGCAGAGTGGCCAGCTGGTATGGCACACCTGATGCGGCCGTGATGATGCTTACCGGTGGGAACTCCCCAGCGCGTCTCAAATCCTGGAGTGGCGCGCGGGCATGTCAATGCGGTTCGGTAATTTGGGCGGGCGCGTTAGCATGATGGCGCCGGTCGCGACGGTGGGGGGGTCGGTCGAACTGGGGGCGCGTGCGTCATGCAGAAGCTCTCACTGACAGCGTAGGTGGAGCTCCTTACGCGGCCATGGAGCGTGCAAGTGCGTTTTCAGAACTGGGGGCGTGTGCGCCATGCGGTTGCGCCCGCTGACACGCTAGCTGGGACTCACTATGGGGCCGCGAGGCGTACGCGTGAGTGGCGCCGAATTGGGGGCTGGTGCGCTATGCGGCCACGCCCACCGAAATCAGGCGAGCGTACGCCATGCGGTCGCGCCAATCGAGGCTGCAGGTGCAGTTCCCTGTGGGGCAACGAAGCGCCTGTGGGGTGTGCCGACGTGAGCGCGCAAGCCATAGAGGCCTCCGCTGGAGACGACGACGCCTGCGAGGACTTGTGGGTCCAGGAGGGCGTCGACGAGGCGGCGAGCCCCGTCGAAGATGAGATGCAGGAGCGGACCGATGGGTCTGTGCCGCTTGCATCACACGCCGAGCTAATCTAGCGGCGCTGGTACCAGGATCGGGACAGGCTCAGCCGCGGCAGCACCCTTCCTGAGTCAGAATGGGAGCGGTTTGCGCTGGTGTCCGAGGTGATGAACTCTGCAGCCCGCTGGGCATTTGAAACCGCCCCTGTCTACGACCGCGCGGGGATCGGTACGGGAGCTGGGTAATCTGAAGGTCCCTAGGTGCCCTCTGAAGCCTGCGGCGCAATTCTTTCGGGTGTAAGTGCGGCCGAAGCGCCTGGCTGCGCGTGCTTGCCTCCTGGGCTGCACACTCGTTTTGGTTGGTGAGTTATTTTTGAACTTGTCGTGGACGTCAGCGTCGGCCCAAGCGCCGAGGCTCGCTCTGCCAGGAGCGTAGGCCGAAGTGCCTGGCTCCGTGTGCTGGCCACCAGGGCTGGTGCGTGAGAGGTGCTTCGGAGAGTCCTGGGGCTCCTGGTGGCTACCTGTTCTCTCGTGGGGTCCGAAGTGGCCCCTCGGGGGCTGGGCCTCGCTTGGCCTAAACGTCTGCCCTCCCGTAAGGCTGGGCTTTGTCGGCCCTCTGCTAAGTCCGACGGTCGCTCGTGAATACACGGCGTTCGGGCGACCGTGTGGGGGTGCCAGAAAAACGCACACCTTGCGTCTCCACCTCGTTGAGGGACCCGAGAGAGTCGATGGGGCTGCAGGATCCAATCGCTGATCAACTTCAATTGGCGATACCATTCCTCTGGCTGCCCTGGGATTCTGCTCGGCCTCTTTGCTTGCGCATTCATCTCATGCCGATCATGGCTCTTCGGCGCCCATGGCCCAGGGTGCCACCGAGGACATCGGGGACTTCCCAGAACTTGATTGCCCACTGCACCAAGACTACCGACGAAGGTGTACGGCCGCGGCTGCCTCTACAAATTCACAGGTCCTCCTCAACAAGGCCGCCGCCATCCAGGACGCGCCGGGCACGCTGAAGATCGCGATCGGGGGCTGCAAAGTCAGTCCTGGACGCCATCGCCGCCGCGGCCAGACTTCCACGTGGCGCTGCTCACTCGACTTCGGCATCATGTTCTTCAGGGAGCTGCTCTAGACCAGCGGGGTGCGGCAACACACTGTGGCAAGCATCGCGCATCTGCGACTTCTGAGCAAACGGGCGGAAACTTTGTTGGGAGGCAGTCGGGGAAGAAGATAGCGACTTGCGCAGGACTCGCGAGCTAAGCCCGCCTGCTGTGAGCGTCTGCGAGTGGAAGTCGTCAAGCGAAAAGGCAGCATCCGAAATCTGGTGCACCGAAAAAACTGTAGGTATCGTTCGTACGCTTGCTGAGAGCGCACGCCACGCCTTGGCCTAGCACCATGGGGGGTGCAGACCAAGCGGACCTGGTCGTGGGCGACGTGCGAGGGAGCCCAGAAAAAGGCGATCTGTTGCGCAGAGGGAGTCGTGGACGAGGCGGTCTGCTGAACAAAAGTGATGCGGGCCAAGCTGTTGGTACTGACTGCGTGCCAGCCCCAATCAGGCGCCACGCGCTCACAAGGAACAACATGGACACACACACACAGACACAACGCACGGTCGGCAAGAGAGACTCGGACGCGGCGAATCTAAGCACCAACGCCGTCAACAAGGGTATACCCAGAAACCTTTCCTTGGGATACCATCTGAACGATGGCGTCCAATCTTCGAATTGTCGAGACGGGCGCCATGCGGCGTTCCATCGCCACGAAGGCGATGAGCAGCAAAACACAACGCGGGCTCAGACGTGTCCCCAGCAGCACGGCACAAACGTCATCTGCAACTTGTGGGCGGAACGCGATGCAGATCTGCTCATACAGGACCCAAGCTGAACCTGGGCCCGAGCGGAGGCACGGCGCAACAACCTTAACTGCTAAGATCACTCTTGGGAAGCTGCGTGCCCACATGGGCTATGAAAAAGCCAGCTTGTCGGCTGACCAGAGCTGGGACAATAACAGAGTTGAGAAGGCGGGTGATGAGAAAGGTAGGAACGGCAAGAGGAGGAAGGCGAGGAGCAAGGGGAAGAGGAAGAGCAAGAGCAAGAGGATGGGCAACATTAGGATGACGAGGGGCAGTAGCGGGAGCAGCCTCAGCAGGAGCAGCAGCACCAAAAACAAAGCAGCAACGACCATGTGAGCATGGTAGTACCTGAACCAAAACATGACCCAACATGGACGTCCCTTCCGCCCCCCCCTCTCCACTCTATGCAACTTTGTTCCTTCCCTGGAGTAGCCCCCCAGAACTCTTGCAGGTCCCCCTTGTGGAAAATCATACGGTCGCGCCCATCAATGGCTCGGTGTCATGCCTCAACCTTTGCCCTTCGCTTTTGCCTTTGCCGTTGCCTTTGGCTTCGGCGGCGGCTTCTGCTCTGGCTTCGCCTTCGCCTGCGGCCTGGGCATCAACTTGAGCGGGGCCCAAGCCAGGGCGCTACCGTGTCGTACTCCGCCTGCAGGTTCAGAGCTTCACGGCTCCACTTCCAGAGCTCCTCCTGCAGAGCCAGGTCGCACTCTGGGCCGACGGACCCGTGCAGGTTGTAATCTAAAGTCTGCAGCCTCTCGGGCCTGTGGAAGTAGGCCATATTCCTGTGCCGCAGCTCAGAATCCTCCTGGCTTGTGGATCTGCCGAAGACAGCAGCAGGGAACCAATAAGGGTAGACGAAGTCCGGAACTGGGTGCGTCACAAAACAACTTTCGAACAACTTGTCGCCACCCAACTCCTCAGAAACACCATGCGCCATCTCATCGTTCCTGTGCGTGTCAATGGCCACCTCGCCAGGGGTCATGGCGACCACGGCGATGCCCTTGGCATCCAGCTTCCGCCTGAGGGACCTAGCAAAGCAAAGGTTTGCTAACTTGCTGGTGGCGTACGGCCGCGCAGCCTCCCTTTCTGTGGCCGTCTTCCAAGGATTCGCCTTGGCCTGCAAAAGGGCAGCCGGGTTGCCCCACCAAGCTGTGAGGCTGCTGACTACAACAATAGTGCCGCCCTGTTTGAGGCTTGGTACCAACAGGGCGGCAAGGAGGAAATGTCCAAGATGATTTGCCGCAAACACCATATTGTGCCCGGTCGCGGTAATCCACTCGCCAGGGCCTGCTGTTGCTTTGTTATCGTGGCTTGTCCCAGCATTCAGCACCAGATAGTTCAACTCTGGCAGCTTTTCCCCGGCGTCACTCGCGAACGACCGCACGGACTCAAAGTCGGCGAGGTCCATCGCAAATCCGACGCAGATGCCTCGGCCCTCGGTTGCGTTGTGGGACATGGCGGCCGCAGCGCTCGCGCTGGCCTTCGTCCTGCCAGACAGCACCACGTTGGCCCCGAGGGCATGGAACCACTTGACTGCCTGAAAGCCAACGCCCTCAGTGCCGCCAGTGATGACAGCGTTCCTGCCCTCCATCGAGGGCTGATAATGCATGCCATGGCCCTGGGACAGAGCAGACCCGTCCCAAGGCCTCATGAGATAGAAGCCCAGCTTGTACGCAGCATCTCCAGTGGTTTGAGGGAGCAGGCCGCCCAAAACCCCGACAGCAAGCACGGCGAGTCCGCAGGCGCCGTGAGAGCCTCCATTCGAGACCGAATGATCGGCCATTTCTCCGCGCCTGCCCAACAGCGCTCACCGAGCCTTGAGCCACCATGGCTGTGGAGGAGCACGGGGCGAATGAAGAGCAGGACGGGAAGGGGGGGTAATGGGCAAGAGCAGGAGGAGCTGGAGCAAAAGCAGGAAAATCAGACGTAAGACAAGAAGACACAAATAAGCCCTGGACGATGCTGTTCACCTATCCCATCGATGCTGTCGCAGCGCCTCGGTGTTTGGCTGCCGAGTTACAGGCTCTGGAAATTGACCATGCGTGCGGCGACTCGTGATCTTCCAAGCGTATTGTGATCAAACATCGTATCACATCGTCCGACCCTCACTCAGATGGTGCTTGCTGCATCACGCCATGGGAAATTCGTGGTGGTGGTACTTCTGATAGAACTCCGCTGGGCCTGATCTGGCTGGGGAGTAGGTGTCTCAACGCCACACGAGGGCCAACGCATTCGCCGAAATAACCGTGTCAAACAGCGCGGAGCCCTATACAGTAGGCTCTTGCATGTGCAACGCATGCATTGCACTTAGGTTACTGCATTCTGCGTGCTGTGCCGACAGTGTGTTGCCAGCTGTGTCTGAAAGCTGTGTGGAGCAAGCTCCGCGGTGCCATTATGTAATGGAAGCTGTGTGACACAAGCTACGGGATGCGACAAAGAAAAGTGCAAACATGTCTATATCCATACATACGTACGTATACACATACGAGATAGAACCAAGCGCGCTGTGTGCGCGCTTGGGCTCTACCTCAACACAGGCCAACGTCCCGAAACAATGGGTGCGTATCGCCAATCTGTCTTGTAAATGCTTCGAACCAGTTTCGGCAATATTCGCAATACTCCTGTTACTCGCCCTCCCCAATCACGGTTCCGTTTCCTCTCCTCTCTACTTCCCCCCCCCCCTCGGGCTCATCCCTTCCACCCGGTGTCACTCCCTGCTCGTTCTTCTCTCCCGTCTCCTGTGTCCTTCTTTCTCTCGGGTTCCCAGGAACCAAGTTTTGGACCATCGTGAAGCCTCAGGGCCAAGAAGCGAAGTCTTCAGAAACCCATTGTATTCCGTCGATGTTTGAAGGGATTGGTGTTCCTGGGGGCCTCTTGGGGCGTCTGGGCGCCATCTTGAACGGTCTCCATCTGGAGGCCATGTTGGGCCGTCCTGGCGGCATCGAGGGCCTTCTTGAAGCCATCTTGGACCGTCTTGGGGCCATCTTGAAGGGTCCTGAGGGCCCAGGTCGATCATCTTGCGGCTCCCTCGGGCTCCTCGGGCACTCTTGGCCCGCCTGACATTTTCGGAAGCCGCCTAAGGGGGAAAACGAAACTCGAATCCCCGGGGGCCTGCGCCGCGGGGGGCGCAGCGGCCGCGGGGGGCAGCGGCCGCGGGCTTCCGTAGCTGCGCCAGTGGCGCGTCACGCACGCACACAAACGACACCGACCCAGCACCAACAAGGGGCTTTAACAGTGCATATTCCCCAGCCCAGCCCAAGGCCTGCACCCCTAGTGTGGGCTGGGCGCGACGACCCCACTATGGCGCCCTACGCGCACCCTGGTTCGCTGTCGCTGTGGTCGGCCACATACTGAGCTCGCGCGGCTTCATGCAAGCCATGAAGCTCGCCGGCCCCCATCCGCCCGCTCGCAAAATATCCCATAACTGGCACCCTTGGGCTGCCATGTCCTGGACCATGCCCCGCCTGAACGCATGCATCCTTGCGTTGGCAACGCCGCTCTCCAGAGCATGCACGCGAGTCTCTTGCAAGAACTTACGATACCCGAACGAAAAGACCCCGCTCCTGCGAGCGAGCCAGGCGCGACGCACTGCGTCCGCCAACCTGTGGACAGCGCACGTGCGACGACCTTGTGTTTGACAGGGGCGCTCCCTGCGGAGCGATGCGGGCAATGCGCTGTTCTTACGCTGCGCCAAAGTAACGGCCGCAGCCGCACTTTCAAAAGCGATGCCAGACTTGCGCCCTTCGGCGAAGCGCCCGCGCAGCAGCGGGGCGGGCTCTGCTCCTGCCCGGAGCAGGAACCCTCTCGCGACTGCGAAAGCGTCTGCAATCTCTTGTTCACCATCCCGCTCCGCTGCCGCGACCATCTGCTCCACTACGTGACAAGGCAAGGCGGGGCGCGCCACGGCGCGGCCCGCTGCGCTCAGCTGCTGTAAGTACATGCTCAAAGTGGCCTGCGAGGCACGAGCATGGCAAACTGGCGGGCGCTTTCGGTCGTAACAGGGAAGTGCGGCAGGCCGAACGAATCGCATAATTCACCCCAGGCGTACAACGCACTGCGCAACGACCTCCAAGACCCCCGAATGGCCCCCAACGCAGCGCGCCTGGACCCCTCCTGGAGGAACGCGTTCTGCATTACCGTAGCAGACGCGCCTTGCTGGGCAGCCCTGAAACCCGCCAGGCGCTGGCGGGGTGTACCTTCGTACGGGAACACGGACCGGAAACGTCCGTTGAAAGTCTCGGTGCGGAGAGCGGCGCACCGCGTGGGTTCCTCAAACAGATCGCCGACCGCGTACGCGACGTCGTAAGCCGTGGAATGCTGCGGCACAACTTGCAGCCATGTCTGCCCGAGCCCAGGCCGCGGTCGCAAAGCAGACTCTAATGCCGCTTGCTTTGGCCCGCTGGCGTGGTCGACCCCCTCCGGGGCAAACCGCCGAACAACTGGCAGTCCTGCTGCGCGCGGCACGACAACCGCCTCCGTGCGCCGGACAGCAGCGCGTTCCCCCCGTGCGGGGGGCAGCCGCGGTCCTCCGGGGCTGCGACTCCTCCGGGTCGCCAGGCCTACGGTCGCTGGCGGGGCCCTCCGGGGGGCTGCGGCTGCGGGGCGGTCGGTTCGCAGCCCCACAAGGCATATGGGGCGCAGCGCCCCCGCCATGACGGACCGGGGGGGGGGCCCAGCAGCTCGCCCGACGCCGGCCCTCCCGCGCCGCTGTTTGACCGGGCGGCGTTCGGCCAGCTGGCGCGCGAGTGCGTGAGATTGAGCAATGCGGCGCGCAGACGCAAGCGCGCGCGCACCACGCCAACACGCACAACACACAACACGCAAAGCGACAAGCACGCACGCAGACAAACACGTGCGCACCCCGCCAATCGATCGGCTCCCGCCAGGTAGCCGCTCGTCCCGCACTCAAGCGCGCGGCGGAGTCCGGGTCTTGTTCACATGTGCACAGGAAAGGCCATGCACAATCTCGACTCCACGGGGATGGAAGGGGGCGGAGGGAAGACCAGGAAGAGGAAGGGGAGGGGTGGGGTGCAGGATCACCGATAGGTGTCTCTGAATAAGTGTCGATGCAATATCGTCAACTCTCTCTAGGTCCGTGGATCTCAGCTCTCTTTTACCTCAGCACGCTCGAAGCCGAAGATGTCAATCTCTCCTCGCCGCTAGCGTCGGTCAGCACGCAGTCCGGGTGTTGTCCAGAAAGCCAGCCCAATAATATGTCCCAGGGAAATCTCTTTGTCTGAATATTCTGATATTCGGTCTCGGCAACCTGGCTGGCTCTCTGGAACCAGCAAGTGAAATCTCTGACCGCCCAAAAGGCGGCTCAAGGGGCCCCTAAGCCACAATGAGTACGGATAGCTGCAAGTGACACTCGTCTCACTCTTACGGAAACGAAACGGACACGATTGAGTTCGTATCCCCAGAAATCTCTGTTGCAGCTAATCCACAAAACAGATTAGAGCCTCTAAATCTTCGCACGCACTCTGGTGCATCACAGAAATTCAACAGGCAACTGCGGCACACCGGCGTTAGCCATAGGATGTAGGTTCACTCACTATCAGGTTATCATCATCATTGTCATCACCGTCTGCTGCATCTGGTAACGACACTCCCACTTTCATGAATGCCATTTTGATGAGACCGGAGATATCCTTGTTGTTCTCGAACCTGCTCATTCCCCGCTCCTTCCGCTTCTTAGCGCTGAGCTGCTCGTCGTCGTCTACCAGTGCCCAGCTCCATGTCTTCATGACAGGTCGATAGGTCCCGTAGCTGTCGTCTTTGTCAAGCTGTCGGCCAGGTTGGCCTCGGAGTGGCACCACCGCACGATCAGCTGTGTCTCGTTGATGCACTTCTCGAAGGCCATCAGCTCTAACGCCGTCCGCTCCTCAGCCAAGCTCTGCATCTGCACCTGCTTGGCCAGACAATCGTAGATGCTCTTTGCGTCCACGCACAGGCGCGGTCGTACCTGCTCCACGCCCTCCAGCATCGGCTGTGTCGTCTTGCTCTCGCTCGCGGTTCCCATTGCCGCGTCCGATACAAAACCATTCAGCTCGGCCCACATCATTCTGACCATGAACAGTTCGTCCTCCGTCACTGTCAGCGCCTGGACCTCGGCCGCCAACGAACTCCTCGCCACGCGCTGTAGCTTGCCACTGCGATGCGAAACCCAGCCAACTGGAGCCCGCTTTCCGTTCAGGATGTCCGCCGGCGCAATCCCAGTCACACATCCTCCTGTCGAGAGTCCGTCTGGTCGATTCGCCCAGGCTGCATCACTCCAGCCCACGACCACTCCTTCGCCCTCGAAGCTCTCGAACTTCAGCTTGTAGCCCTGGTCGTTCTTCATCTGTCTGATCAGCTTGTGGATCCCGAAGACCGTCTCCACTGTCGCCGTCGGTCCACTGCTCTGGAAAATAGAGCACTGCGCCTGGTACTTCGGCATCGTCTGCGTCGCCACCCACTGGATCTCGCCCAGCGCTCCCCGAAGCATTGTCATCTCCTTATCCGTCAGCTTCTGGTCCCGTTGTTTGCGACGCCCCTGTCCGATGTTGATCTCGGTGATGTTGTCGATGAACTCCTTCTGGTGTATGGTGATCTCGCTGCTGGCCGTCTGCATGACCGACAGTCCGGTCTGCTTGAAGCTTCCTTCCTCCCATGGAGTCCAGCGGAACGCATTCTGCAACTTCACCTCGATCTCTCGCCATCGAACTCCACCATCTCCGGCGATCAGGAAGTCGTCCACGTGTGTGCCAACTACCCCGAACACGTTCTTGTTCTTGCCGCTGAAGACCCAGACGCACGGGTCCGACACGCATCGTTGTCCACCGAGCTGCTCCATCAGGGTGTCCACGCTCTCGTACCACGACTTTGGCGCTTGACATAGTCCGTACACTGCCTTCTTGAGTCTCACCGCCGTCCCTCCAGGTACTCCGAACTCCCCCGCCAGCTCATCGTTGGCCTCGATGTAGGTCGGCCTGTCGTCTGGCATCCCTTTTCCTTGCAGGAGCGCGGCCTTGACGTCGCCCTTCTTAAGCTTCCACTTCTTCATGGCCGTCAGCTGGAAGATCATGTTCCGAGCTCTCCTCGTCATAGTCGGCGATGCCACTGGTTCGTCTCCTAGCCTAGGATCTTGATATCCCAGCACTACCAGTCTAGCCTTTGCTCGGCTGCCTCCTGTCGCTTCGTCCTTCTTCCAGGTGAGTACCCAGCGCGTCTTCAGAACATCAGACGACTTCGGCTTGATGTGTGGCAGTAGCCTCTCCAGCACGTCGTTGGCGATCCAGTCTCTCACCTCGACCAGCTTCGCCCCCTTCATCAAACTCTTCTGCTCATCGGTCATGTGCTTGACGCTTGCCTCAGACCTTCCTTTCTTCATCGCCTTAGTGATGTACTGCTCCGGCTGCCTCGTGAACTTGTTCATGCTGTTCGCGTCGAACGCCTCGAACGCTACCTCGATGTAGTCGATCCAAGTCGGGATCTCCAGGTCCTCCTGGATCTCCGTAGCCGCCCATGCAGCCACGTCGAAGGTCTCCCAGTCAAGCTTGCCCCAGTCCACCTGGTCACCGTCCGCGATTTTGTCATTGAAGAAGGCACTGTAGCTCCTCAGTGCTGGTCCGAAGTTGGTCCGCATCCTGACCTCCTCTTCGTCTTTTCGAACAGGTCGGTCTTGACTTTTCTCTTCTCGACGATCCGTCTTTTGAGATCTGCTTCTCCTGCAGTTGTCTGTTTCGTGTTCTTGACCTTCTCGCTCTCGATGTCATCCATCGACGGCTGGTCTTTCTCATTGTCCTCATGGGTCTCCGGGACCTGCTCCACGACCGTCTTCTTCGCTTTCTCATGGACCACCTCCCTATCATTCTGGTCCACCTTGATCTCCTCCGGCTTGTCCGCAATGGGAAACGGGTAGGTCCTGCCAGTCCAGCGTCGTCCCATTGACCTCGTAGACTTCCCATGCGCGTTCCAGTTGTCGTCCTTGACCGTCTCCTCGGAGCCATCCTCATACCTTATCACGGTGATCCTCTCCATGGTCGTCTTCTCCGGCTTGGATCTGAAGCCTCTTGGCGTAAACAACGCCACTCTCGGTCGTAATAGTACTCGAACATGTGCAGGTCGTCCTTCGAACTCACCTTCTTCCCAGTGGTCCTCCTTGTCTCCATCTTCTGGTGCACGAGCTGTGGTCTCCGGTGTGTAGGTCTCCTCGTTCATCGGCACGTCCTCCTTGTCCACTGAAATCACCTCACCCTTGTTGGGACTCTCCAGTCCTTCCACCAACGTCCAGGGTGTGTGCTTTTCTTCGAAGAACATCTCTTCTTCTCGTGGACTTGCCGCTCGCAGTTGTTCTGGTGCACACCTCCACAACCTCGACCCCATCACGACCCATACCTTTCTGGATTGAACGAGCGTCCCGTCGCCTGTCCTCGTCGTCTGTACCCCGAGGATAGTCCCTGGTCCAAACCATCTGCCCTTGTCAAAACCATGGTATCGCGGTCCTGCTGGTGCTGGTTGTTTGGCCTGCTTGCCACATCTCCACACACAGACCAGCATCCCAGGATACAGGTGTTGAGGTCGTTGATATCGTGCTGCCGCTGCTCTGGCCTGCTGCTGCTTGAGAAATCCGCTCGCCAATGATCTTGGATGCCAGCACCCGCTTGGACAGGTTCTCCATGTAGCTCTGGTTCGTGCACTTCACGACGTCCAGGTGGTCCTCCTTCTTGAGAGTCCCCGACCAGTTCTTGTCTCGTCCGAAGGCCCATTGGCTCGGACTGTAGCCGTCGACCCCCTCAACCGCGTTGTGTGCCTCCACCGCTGCATGTACTGCCGCCTCCAGGTCGGTCTCATGATCGCGATGCATGGCCTTGGCGCACTCGAACACCGTCTTGATTGCACGCTCTGCGATGCCATTCTGCCAGTGAGCCTGGGCGGCACACGGATTCACCTGAACTCCTTCACCTGCAATGCTGTCGTAGAACTCGTGCGACACGAATGCTCATTCAGGATCAAGCCTCAGTACGCTCGGCATGCCATGCCGATCTGACCAGTGTCCTCTGAACGCATCCAGCAGCTCCTTGGCGGTGCAGTTCCTCGACTCCTGGGCGGGTACTGAAAAGATCTTGACCGCCAGTGTAAGCTTACTCGCCTCGTCCACGATCACAAGGTACCTCCGCTTGATCTGGTCGTCGCCCACGATCTCCTTCGCGTCGATGCCGACCACCTGCCATAGATCTCGAGCTGGCTCGAGTACTGCTGCTGGTCTCGGTCTGGGTATCTGATTCTCGATGCACGGGCTGCACTTGATGTGCTTCGCGGCTGCGATTGTCGTCGCTGAAGCCCCACGTCTCAGCAGGATCCTGATCATCACCCTCTGTGGTCGGTGTCCAGTATTCCGATGCAGCCGCATCGCTGCTTTCATTAACTCATTTTGCTTCAGCCTCGGTAAGTCGTTCCACTGCTGTTGCTCGTCGCTCGTCAGCTCGAGCTCCCTCTCGTGATCGAACATCTCCTTGTTGTCGTTCGCCAGGGCTTCCTCCTGCCTTAGCTCCTCGATCAGGCCCATCAACTTCGGCGGTTCCACGATGTTCCGCCAGATGATCCTCGCCATTCTCGCAGGGTATTTGCCCGACAAGGTAGCATCCTTCCCACAACATTCCGCATGTCCGTGTCCTTGGGGATCTGGGCAGCGTTTGCCGCTCAGGGCCGTCGCGAGCTTCTTTCTGCTGGTCCACAGCGTCCACGGTTTGTAGATCGGCTCGCCCTTAGTGTTGACCACCCCGACCTGGCACCCGCCGAAGTTCACATTCTCCATGCCCAGCTCGCCGAAGAACTCCGTCAGCTCCGGGAAGTGCTTCCAGCCATGGCAGTTGCGTGGCCACTCGAAGTGTACGTCGCCTCCATTGTCCTTGACGATCCTACTCACTTCCATGGAATGAAGTGTTTCGCAATTTTCTTGAGGTTCTTCTTTCGTGATTCGAGCTTCTTCCAGTACTGGCCATCCTGCCTGCCGATGTAGCCGCTGTGAAGTGCGCTGACTGCCGTGCACGGTAGGCTTCCCCAGATGTCTGCTCCAAGGCGTTTCACCGCCAGGTTCTGTGCCAACTCCAGCCCGTGCTTCGTGCTGAGATCCGCGTCCTTCCTGGTGATCCTGATGATCTCGGCATCCTCGCGCTCCTCCGCGACCTTCCCGAGCTGGCTGTCCTCCTCCGTGCAAAACTCGATCAGCTGTTTCACGTAAGAGGTCTGTCGCCATCCCAGCTTCCGTCACTGGCTCTAGCACCCAGCTCTAGTCCTTCAGGTTGATCTCCTCCTTGTGGTACTCGACGTCAACCCCGAACGTGATGACGTCGTCGTCCCCTGAGGGGACGTCGGTGTCGGGTCTCAGGGGCCCTCGGGCTCCCCGCCCTGGGGAGACTCCTTCTTCTTCCTGCGCGTCGGTGGGTCCGTTCGCCGCTTGGTGCTGTCGCGCATCTGGTCGAACATCATGTCGACCTTGCTCATGTGATCGGTGCCCAGGCACGGCGTCTCCTCCTCCTCTGACTCTCCGGCCTTCTCGAATGAGTCCTCCGAAGACAGCTCCTCGATCTTGGTCCGACTCTCTCTCTCTCTCTCTCTCTCTCTCTCTCTCTCTCCGACGTCGCCTTTTCCTTGGTGACCTTCTCCTTCGTGATTTCTTCGATCTTGATCTTTCCCACGGTCGGTCCCAGAGCTCCCCTCTGCCTGTACCTGCCCGTCGCCCCGTGCTTCGGAATGTGCAGCATGACCAGCTCGCATCTCACGCACTTGTAGCTCACCTTGTAGCCGTTGGCGTGCCACGCTAGCGGGCGTGTCGTGTCGTGCTCGCCGTAGCAGGGCTTGCCCGTGTAGCGATCGTCTTTCTCGTTGGCAGATTCCGCTCTGTCCCAGTCCAATCGAAGGGCCCGACGATCCAGTGTCATCCATTCGCCGATGGTCCGCTTGCCCCATCGCTCTGGACCGGTCTGTCGTCGCTGTCGGTCTCCACTGCCCCTCCGATGTCCTGAACCACCGTCGAGGTCTTTGTCCTTCTTGATGTTGCGGTGCTTGTTGCTGTCGATCGGGGCGTCGGCTGCTGGCGTCGAAGCTGCCGCTGCCGCCCCGGGCATCGTCCCTGATGACCTGCACCCGTTTGGCGTTGACCCACTGAAATCTGGATCTTGAGCCACCGCGTTGCGGATCGCAATCAGCATCACCGCCACCATCATTCATGATTATCTGGGGTACTTCGCATTTCTCGTGTAGGACACCTGTTACTTTCATCTCTTGGGGCTTTGGAATCTTCTCGAACCCATTCGGAACACTCGCAGGCCTCTGAGATCCCCTGAAAGACGTCTCACACGTGTCTGGAGTCACGTACCTAGATCGTGTCGGTGTAATCCGGATCGCCGAAAATCTCCGAAATCGGGTCGAAGTACTCGCAGTCCTTGATCGAACTGTCGTTCGCGTCGGACTCGCACATGTACTCGAAACCCGTTCCCGCTCGGAACTCGTCGGCCTTATTTCCGAACCCGTGCCAACAACATCCTCAGTGGTTTCTGTAATGAAATTCCCGTCCTCGGAAGTCTCAAACGGTGCCCTATTGCTCTCGGTCCCCTCCTCTGCTCTCGCTGTTCTGGTAGGTCCTCCAATCCAGTGACGTGATGCTGGCTTTGTTTTCCTGAAACCAGCACCGCAGAAGGAGGGGCGCTGTCCCTATTCAGGGCTCGCGGCTGGAGCGGCCGCCGCGACCCTCGCAGTGCCGAGAGTCTGCTGTAAGTCCTCGAGCTTCTGCTTGAAGTCCTCCCTGTCGGTGTGGTTCACCTTCGCGTCGTAGAGATCCCTCGTCATGTCGATGCACAGGTGTCCCGTCGAGATCCGCTTGAGCTTCGCCACCTTGTTCTTCGTGATCTTGTTGAAACAAGCGATCCCCGTCTCGAAGTCGATGATCGCTCCAGCACGCTTCAGGAAATCCACTGATCCCAGCAGCGGCACGTAGCGGCCCCCCTTGGTGTTCAGCGCATAGCCCGACACGCCCCCTAGATTGCCGTTCGCCTGCAGCGGGAGATTCGCCCGGCACGAACACTGCTCCGCGTCGCCGGTAGCGAACCCGAACATCGAGCACCATGCACCCCTCCTTCTCGTCTGCGAGCCCGGCCAGCGCGTGCTCCACCTCGAACTCCGTGTAGGCCATCTCCAGGTCGTTCTCCTCGAGCTCGTCGTCGTTGGCCTCCCAGTTCGCGAAGCTGAACGCCAACGCTCCGACCTGAGATGCTCGTCCGCGTGGCTGCTCCCTGTTTCGGTTCTCCGGGTTCTTCGGGCAGCCGGCCTTCCTGTGCGGTCCACTGCAGATGAAGCACGGCCCTCCTTGGCCCTTGCCGCCTTTCTTGCCCTTGCCCTTGCCCTTCTGGAAGAACCCTCGGCTTTGCTTGATATCCTTCACCACGGCCCGCGTTTGTGCCAGCGTCCTCTTCTGCTTCTTGACGTCCTTTTTGGCTCCGGCGATGACCGCCAGTGCCTCCTCTGCCTCCGCGCGTTCCTCCTCGTCCAGACATTCGAAGTCAAAATCGTCCTCATCCCAGTCGAACTCGTCGTAGGCTTCGTGGTCGTCTTCCGGGTCGTAGTCGTCTGGAGCCTCCTCTCGATCATCTTCATCTTCTCCAAAGACTCCTAATGCTCGTCCACGGCCAGGTTTGCGCGGGAATATATCTCTCTTCTTGTTGTGCGCGTCGTGCTCCTTCAGGTCCACGTCTGCCCACTGGTCCCGCAGCGCTGCCTCGATGTTCTTCAGATTCAGCGAGTTCTTGGCCGACGACAGAACTCCCGCGCGCTCTTGAGCATTGAGTCCTGCTCTTTGAAGCAGCAGCCATCCCGCCATCACCGACTGGATCAGCGTCTCGCGCGCCTCCGTCGCCACCTCCTTCAGCGCCTTGATGTCCGCGTCATCATCCTGCAGGTCAAAACACGCCATCAGTGAGCACAACGCATCCGTAGCCTTCTCCTTCAGCGTCACCTTCTTGTGTGCCCTCAGCGACGTCGTCGCCTGTGGCCAGGTCCAGCCAGCTGACCCTGTTGGTGAACTCGACCACCAGCTGCTGCCGTACCACCAGCTACCCTTCCAGTAACCGTCGTTCTCGTCCTTCCAGCTGCCGTCGTCCTCTGCGCCTTCATCGTCGCCTTCAGGGCCTTCCCGTTTTCGAGTGGACTCCAGCGTCGCGGACTCTGTCTTCTCCTCGGGCCGCATCTTCTTGACTAGCTTGATCTCCGACGTTGTGTCCTTCTCACCGATCCGTCTGAAGCTCTGGTCCAGCTTGTCTGCGACGATCCTGCTCCTCTGAGCGTAGGCCTTCATGCCCTCGTTGTTCCTCCGTCGCAGCGTGAACAAGTACTCCTTCAAGCACTTCGCGGCCTCTGGTATTGGCTCGTCCATGGGCGTCTCGTCCAGGAACTTTAATAATATCTTGTGGCCGCCCGCCTTCTCCAGTAGCTCCCGTCCTTCGTCTGAAACCTCCTCGAGCGCCTTCCACGCTTCTCCAGTGAGAGCTGCTGCCAGTCGAGCTCCCGCCACTTGCTTGTCTCGATGTGAAAGACCAGCCACATACCATTTAACACGCTCTCGATACTCTTGGAATCTGGTGACCTCTCCATCCCACGTTGGAACCTTCTTGCCGTCGTCTCGACATTCTCCCATCTTGCCGGCTGTCCAGGTATTGGAGCCAACCGGCTCCGCTACCAATGCAGGATCACCGATAGGTGTCTCTAAATAAGTGTCGATGCATATCGTCAACTCTCTCTAGGTCCGTGGATCCCAGCTCTCATTTACCTCAGCGCGCGCGAAGCCGAAGATGACAATCTCTCCGCGCCGCTAGCGTCGGTCAGCACGCAGTCCGGGTGTTGTCCTTAAAGCCAGCCCAATAATATGTCCCAGGGAAATCTCTTTGTCTGAATATTCTGATATTCGGTCTCGGCAACCTGGCTGGCTCTCTGGAACCAGCAAGAAAAATCTCTGACCGCCCAAAAGGCGGCTCAAGGGGCCCCCGAGCCACAATGAGCACGGATAGCTGCAAGTGACACTCGTCTCACCCTCACGGAAACGAAACGGACACGATTGAGTTCGCAGGGGGGGGGGGGGGGGGGGGGGGGGGGGGGGGGCGAGAGAGTGGGGGGGGCAAGGACGACACAGGGAGAGAGAGAGAGAGAGAGAGAGAGAGAGAGAGAGAGAGAGAGAGAGAGAGAGAGAGAAAAAGAGAGAAAAAGAGAGAGAGAGAGAGGTAAAAGGGGAAGAGGAGCGGGACCGACGGGGGAAAAAGGCAGCGAAGAGACAACGGGATGGCAAGGACATGGTTTTACTCAGCGAGCACTCCGGCAAGCGTGGGCCACTTCAGCGCCCTCCGTTTGTGGTTCTGCCACGGGCCTACAGTGCCCCGGCTCAAGCAGTCGGCGGGGGTGCTCGCCGACGGCGCCCGCCGGCATTCGATGGAGGCCTGCGCCTGGGCAACGGGCAGCCATGCCACGCCGGCAATTGCGTTGGGATCTGGTTGTCTCGACCAACCTGACAACATGATGTCCTTAGCAGCAGCATTGCCTATGAAAACCAAGATCCGCTTGCCTGCGAGCTGCGACTTTCGCGTGCTCAGTGCTGCTACCAACGCCAACAACTCAAAAACATTGATTAGAATGGCCCTCCTGCGCAAAATGCGCCTCCAAGATCGCGGCGCCGCGCTCGTGGCCCATTCTCTCGTGCAGCCGGCTCCAGAAATCACCGCTGCCCCGATGCCTCCGCCCCCTTCGGCGTCTGTGTAACGTAAACTAAAACGTCGAAGGGGGCCGCTTCGAGCTCTCTCACGGTGGCCGCGCTGTCCGGATTCAGAGAAAACAGACGGATCCACCAGCGCAGGCACGCGCGCAACCGGCTCGTAAGAGCCCAGCATCCGCCGCGGGCGGCGCGCCAGAAAAGAAGGACTCACGTGGGACCTCCCAACGCGACCGAAAGAACGCTGACACGCGAACGCCAACCTTCCTGCAAATTTCGACGCTAGTGCCAGGGACAATGAATTTGAACGCAGCACATCAGCCATCTCGCGCTGCCACGCGACAGCTTTCTCGCGGCCGAGGCGCCGACGCACCCCCTGCGGGGCCACGGAAACCTCGCGCCCAAGCACAGGAATCGCCCTCGACATCTCTGCGGATTTGTCGCGGTCCAACTCCCGCCCAAGCAGGGCGACCACCTCCTGGAAGATTGCTTTGGCTCGGGGGGCGCGCGCTTTGACGTCGGCGAGGAACGCGTCGTCGACATGCACAAACAGTGCCAAGGAACATATACGGACCGAAATGCACTTTACAGCATGGGCGCAGCGCCACCGCGCGTAAACGCCACCAACTGCCCCGAAGGGCTGCGTGCGCACTTTCCATTCTCACGCAGCTGTGAAAGCTGACACGACAACTTCTTTTCCAAGGCAAACTTCCGCGCCACTCTGTCGCGACAAGGAAAGCGCCGCGCGCGCGGTGACCGCGTCGTTCCAGACCCGTTCGTGCACCGACGCAAAAGAATTTACATCGTTCTTCTTAAAATTATTCACTGCGTGGAGCTCCCCATATGTGCATCTACTCGCATGGACCTGTCCGCCGTGAATGTCTAGGCGCAAGAGCTTTCGAATATTAACGGGCTGCAGTTGTGACGGTCTGGACATCAATCTAACTGCGAATGAATTGGAGTGTGAATGAGCCTCAGTAGTACGAGCGCGTCTCTGTGCATGAGCCTGGGGCCTCCTGGGGCCTCCTGAAACCTACTGGGGCTTCCTGGGGTCTCCAGGGGCCTCTTGGGACCTCCTGGGACCTCCTAGGAAGGTTTCGTGCCCCAGGAGAGGCGCAATCTATAGCAACAGACGCACATAAAACATTGCGGATTAGAGCCACAGGAGAAAGGCAATCTATAGGAACACGCGTAAAACACCAAGGACTCGTGCCCCAGGAGAGGCCCAATACATAGGAACATGAATAAAACATTTAGGATTGTGTACACAGGAGAAGGACCATCTATAGAAACATACGTAGAACATCAAAGAATCGTGCTCCAGGTGAGGCCCAATCGATAGGAGCATACGTAACACACATGGGATTGGAGCCACTC